ACAATGTAGCATATAAATTATAGCTAATAAGTAATATTATGTTGACTTAATTTTCTACAATACTACTAGCTTAAACTAAGGTAATGTTCATTAACAGTCTTAGTGTTATATAATGTTTTTACACTATGTATGTGTGTCCGAGATTACAGTTGCACTTATATACATTAACTCAAATAGCACTTCAATTTTGATACAATGGTATGTAGATTCAGCGGACCAAATAGTTCTCGCCCTAAATGGTTTAAAATTTGCTTTATACTAGGGCTAGTACAATAGGTGATTAGTCAGTACAAATACTTGGAGATAGAAAAATCTATTTTAAATAGATTCAAACGGTCCAGCCGTCGTTCAACTTAAGTTTCCGTTCTCGAATGTATTTTTCATATTTTTTTTGTTCCTAATATCTATAATTGACATACATATTTGACTATGACTGCAGGGTTCAATCGCGCGCCCAAATTGTGCGGCTTAATAATTATATTTATATTTCATTGTTAGTACATAAATAACTATTTGAATCACGAACTAGGCGTATTGAAACAGTTCATCAACTCTATTCTTCTACTGCGCATCACAAACATGCAAATGGAAGCAATACGTGAATGCGAGTTGCATTCTTATGCAAATTCTATGAAATTTGATATCATCAAGACGAGCAGGGCAGCAGCCACCTTCCTCGACCTTCATTAAAAATACAACTGAGAAGGAGATGCCGATATTGCCACAACCTAATTAGTCACTTATGCGGTACAAAAATTATCGAATGGCAGGCGAAATAATATGTTTATTATGACGTAAATATCAGACTTAACTCCAAATTAAGCATAGTAAAATTCAGTTTACTAACAAAAGATGTGAGCGTCTAGGGCCCGACAGAAGTGCTAACTTAAACTAATTTAAGTTGAACTAATTAATTCTGTAATGTTCCGAGGATTATCTTCTGCTTCATTCATCTTTTTTTATAACCACATTCAAAAACGGTGATAGTTTGAGGTTATATGCTCACTGTCAACAGTAAATGTCTAACGCACACTAAACATTGAATAACGAGAGGGGAAAGCGTCTGTCCGAAATATCTAGCGCTGCGGGTTAGAGTGAGAGAGGACGAGCCTGCCTACAGCTTCCGTATGCGTGAGAGAAAGGGAAGCTAGACAGAATGGCGCTGTAACGCGTTACGTTACGATGTGGTTTACCCTCCCATAAGAAGTTATCACGTCAAAAAGTTTCGAATATTTTTAATGAACCGTCTTAAAAAACAAAACAATCAATTTCAAAATCATTATTTTTCCTTTTGACCATTTCAGGTGAAGAGGGAGAGAGGTGTACTGTTCCTAATTGGAAGATCCTTAGAGACCCCCCTACTAGCGTCTTCCTAGCGTCGTCGTCGTGTCAGCGTCAACGCAACGCTAGCGCTGGCCGCGTGCCGAACACCCCGGGCTTACGCGGCGCCAGCGCAACGTTTTTTACGAACAAGTAATATCGAGTACATACAACTAGCCGCACAGCGTTGGCGTCACGTCGCCGCGGACACTGACACGACGACGACGCTCGGAAGACGCTAGTGTGAGGGGTCTCTAAATCAGTGTAACCCAGTGGCTGATGTCGAGATGATGCATTTAGTTAACCGTAGTTTGTAGATTTCGCTATACTTGTATGTGTATCAAACACGTAACAGAGATCCTTTTCATCAATTACAACTTGCTCTGCCAAGGTCCATCCCTCATTAATGGCCGAGACTTAAAAGGCTGTTCGCGTGGCGGGATGCGGACAAGACGCTGTTACCGCATCCTACCTCGAGCGATTGCTGGTGGCGCCGTGGAGTTCTTTTGGGTATGCACACTAGTGAGTCCCACATAACCCTCCACCAAAATGTCACACCGTGGGAGGGAATCTGTAATGCATTTCTCTACAAAAAAATATATACGCTTCTCATTTTTCTATATCCTGGTATAGATTAGAATCTACCTACTTTCAGCTGTTGCGTTCATTGCATAAGAGTACAATGAGAACATTAAGCGATATTTTGGTCAGAACCGGTTCGTCAGAGAAATTGATAATATCGGTGATTGGAAATTGATAGTGTTTAATAGAGCAAATTATAATTGAAGCCACAGACAAATGTACGCAGTTGAAACTACTTAATGCCACAGCGTCTGTGGTATGCTTTTGACGCACCGAAAATTGAACAAAACTTAAATTGTTTATTTGTAATAATTAATTCCATGATTAAATCCGAACTACCCGCATGTGTCCTCTAAAACGTTTGTCCTTTTGTAAAACGTTACGATGCGGGGCGGGGATTTAATTACGCCGTATTGTTAATATTATTTTCGATATTCCAGTACTTTACACTACATAATGGTAACTTTTAGGTATAAAGAGTCACTGGGTGGTCACGAAACGTTTTACTATTGGGTACAGAAAAACGTTACGGTACGTTACATGGGGAAGGGCGTCAATAATCTCCAAAAATTGCGTGACGTAATACTTGAACGCTCCCTTAAGTTCTCATGTCATTTTCACAGGTGTATCTATATCCTTAACATAATTTCATAAGTATTTGATTGTCCTCATTTTAACATGGGTGATGTATAAGAGGAAGAGCAGTGTTGACTTTAGCTTGCGGCTCTTATCCCTGAGGTCGTAGGTTCGATCCCCGGCTGAAAAATAAGTTTTATTATATACATACAGATTTAGTATAATTTTATAGTTAAATTTCCTGTAATGAGGAAACCGGGGCTTACCTTAGACTCAAAACGTCAACGGCGTGTGTCAGGCACAGGAGGACAATCACCTCCTTGCACTCTCCAGACCTAACAAGATTGTTAAGAGCAAAAAAAAAATAAATTATTTTAAACTAAAACCTCTTTGTTAAACTCACATTTTCGCTAATGGTTTTCGTGATGTTAAAATGTATAACGCGTTTTTCTTTTTAAACTGAATAAACTAATCTGTTAATACTATTCAATTATTTACAGACGAAATGTTCCATACGAATTACGTAAGGTGTACGTAAAATGTAACTGTACGAGTGCAGAGTTTAACCAGTTAGGTTAATGACCTACAATGTTAATGAATATGTAATGGTTTAGGAAGTAGATCTAAATATAAAATAAAAATATTTTTGCAGTTTTAATCTTTTGTAAGAGCACATTTTAATTGCGTGTTGCGAAATAGGAAAGTGTATATCGGAATAATGCAAATTTTTCATTTATTCAGGTAACAGCTTATATTAAAATACCAACGTATATAATAATGCCATAACCAGCCTTCCCAAATTCTAATCTAAATATAGCTGCGTACGCAGTGAGACTGTGTATGTACGTCTTATTATAAAAGCTTTTGTTTAAAAAACTTTTAACCTGTGAAATAAACCTGTAAGCCGTCTTGGGCCCAAACAGTAAACTTTTGTGAACAGCAGTTTATATTTTTACAGCTTTCATGGTAGCCACTCTGTCACCACTTTATAAAAATCTGTAGAATTTAATTATGAATGATTGAGCGTGGTATACCTTTTACGTTTCTAATTCAGTAGAAGTAATGTACTTGAAAAAGGATAAGTAAAAGCATCCGACGAGCGTGTATAGTGAATATTATAAGAGTGAGGAGGAGTATGTCAGAACAGTAGAAAGACGAGGTTTGTGGTCTGCCTATCCCTTTGGAAAACCATTGACTCATATTATTATTAACAAATAAATATAAATAATAACGGGTATTAATATTATATATTATATTATAAATATATTATAGAGTATTCCTTACAAACTTACATCTATTTTTTTGAAAATACAGTATAATAAAACAATTTGGTGCGAAAGTATTTTTTAATGAATGATTTAAAAAAGCTTGACATAAGAATAGTTAAGAATCAAAAATAATTTACGTATTAAATTTAATAAAATACAGGTAATTTTTTTTTGTTTGGTTAGTTGTCACTGTTATGTCAGTATATCTCGTCAAAAGATGTGAATTGTCATCGAAAAGAGTCTACACTCTACAGTCATGGCATGATCATCAGTGTGACCAGATTTAGTAGATTTCTACTTTTTTGGTAGATTTTGAGGTACTGTCAACAGAATTTAGTATGTAAAAATTATTAGGTATATTTTAGTAGAATTCACGCTTTTCAGTTATTCTAGTACTTTTTTTGGCATATCGAATAAAAGCGAGGTATTCCTCTTTCATCGATTGGATTATAGCTATTTAATATTCATTCAAAAATAAAATAAAATAAAAATAAACCATTTTTTACCATTCGTGCCGTGAGCATAGAGTGTGATGTGGGAATTCCTTTATTGAGAATTTATATAATCGAGTTTAAAATGAAACATAAATATACACAAGGATATCGCAATGAATAGTAGCTAGATCCCTTATTTAAAGTTGGTTATGTAAATCTACAAAATTTTACGTTATTTTTCAAAGTGATCAGACCCTTATTCATAAAATTGAAACAGACATACAAAACATGATGAGTTCCATTTTGAGTTGCTTTATGAAGACAAATTATATAAAAACTACTCCGCTGCAGTCAATAGATCTGACAGAAGTATGTTCAAGTTAATGGACTCAAAATTGCTTTATGACAATGTTACCCAACATAAAGACGAAAAATCTTTACTTTAAGTATCATTTTATAAATTTTTGTTTAATTATATTTTTATTAAGAATTTAATTTAAAAAAAAACTTGGTTTCTTTTAAATTAAATTCTTATTTTTATTATTCTATCGTTTTATCAAGAAAACATTCATTTTTTACGTTGTAACACAACAGCAAAAAAATATAATAGATTTTCTTGTTCCTTTTGGTAGAATTCAGTAGTTTTTAACCTCCACAAGCAGTAGATTCGTCAATTAAAATCTGGTCACACTGATGATCATGAATTATGAAAACAAAATCGTATTTTCTGTTTTTGAAACTGTTTTGTAACTAAAAATTGTTTCGTATTAATTATTTATTACCTTTAATCCTAATCATATTTTAATTTATCTTTATAATAATGAGTAATAAGGCAGCAAAAGTGGCAGAATTATTTACAAAAACCATGGCAACAACAAGATGTTTTGATCAAAACTTACGTAAGGTATTAAATGCTGAAAACATCTCCGTGGGGCATCAAACATTTTTACCAAAAATATTAACTTAATTTAATACAATGAATGGGTTAGCATGCCTCCCACATTCTCAGTTCTCCTTCCCCACTTAGTTTCTATATTCATATTCAACAACTGAAAATTGTGTGCTGTATAATTTTTTTTTCACTCATATTTTATATTTGATTTATTTAGTATAATAAGTTTAAATTGAATGTAAAATGTTTCATCTACACAGGTCAAAGTTGTATGTTGTACAAATGGAAAATTAGTTACTGAATTTCAAGTAGGGCCTGAACATCTCAATCAGAGAGGAACTCTTCATGGAGGTTTTATAGCACATTTAGTTGATGCCATATCTACATATGCTTTAACAGCAAATGATACAGTTGAAACACGAGGCGTGTCTATTGATTTAAGTATAAGGTAATTTAGTTAAAAATGTTATACTGATAATATGTAACAATGGGATAAAAATTTCAATATTATATAATAATTACATAATATATGCTTCTAACAAAGTTGCTCCTATACTTTTTACACATCTATTCTCAAGAACATTTCATGGTAGTGTCTAATATAGAAAAAATTATGTATTTATCATTCATACATAAATACCAACAAATATTGAAAAATTGGTTGGCGGTCTACTGTAATTTAATCTCTTAAATGTTATTTTTATTTCAGTTATTTAAATGCTGCAAGAGAAGGTGAACACGTGGAAGTGGAGGCTGTTACCAAAAAATTAGGGAAAAAGATAGCGTTTCTTGAAGTTGAAGTTAGGAATAAAACAAAAAATCAATTATTGGCAATAGGGCGTCATACCAAATATGTTGGTATATAACAAAAGATATTATTTATTTTATTTTACCTAAATGTGATATATTAGAATAGTATAACTTATAAAGTGAAGTTGTGTAGTTATCATACATTTTAAATCTGCTTTGTCCTTGTCACTCTGATGTCACTTATATGTAACAAAACTAGGTAATATGTTATGAGTTCAATCAATTATTAGCTTTATGTTATCTAACTGGTTCCTATAATCTTTTCAGTGCAATAATACACAAAACTATGACTAAGATATATTTCTAAATAAATATTTTATGTATCACACTTGGTTTTTTCCTATTCCATATCATTCATAGAATGTGAAGTATAATCATAAAACTGTCCTAAGATACTTCTTACTGCTTTCCTAGGTGAGAAAATATGAATTGATTTCGATAGTAGACAGATTTAAAAGATAAATCTTTTGTAAATACATAAAGGTGATAAAAGGAAACAACTGTGTTATTTTATTTTTGTATTTCACATCAAAAGGGGTATAATACATATTAATAATTCAAACAAAACTATTGAAAATTGGTAATAGGCTTCACCACCAGCTTCTTACAAAATTATTCTAAAAGTAGTTCTTATATCTCACTAATTTTAACGGCTAACTTTAAAAAGTTTCGAGATAAAGTGTTCGTGACAGTTTCAAATGTATTAGACTCGACACTGAAGAGCAATCAATGTGTCGATATTTTTAGACATTTCCCGCAAAACTTTTACGAGAAATGTCGTATATTGACGACTCACGAATAGAATTCAGAAAGGGTTTGCTTTTGCCTAAGATCGTTTCAAAGGTATTAGTGAAATGTGAATGAATATTGCTTTTATATGTCTGCAGGCGCAGGAAATTTCAATCTATTTACAGCAATTGCTATTTTAATTTTGATAGGCGTTTCAAAAACCATAACTATTACTGCGAAGCTGTGGCGAGCTAGCATTGCGGCATCTCTACCATGAGATTTTAGCTCATCTAAAATATTCTATCAAATATATTGCGCCTAACCAATAGGCGCTTAGCACTTAGGCGTTGTAAAGTGTGCTGATATTATTAGATTAGCTCATGGTAGAGCTGCAGTACAATTTATACATTTGAACAACTAATTTTACTAAGCTTATATTCGTTCCATACAAAATATCATTATAAATACGGTAAGTGATATGAAAACCAAAAGCCTGTTAATTTTTATATTAATACAATGTTGTCCGGTAATTTAAAATATAAATTAAATATCTCCCATAAAAGTGGTAGATAAACTCAACACGCAGTATTAAATCAAGTCCACAAATTCCTTACCAAATTGATGTGAAATATCAAATATGATACCGAATACAAATTTAGTAGTCCATAAAGCAGATTTTTGCATGAAACAGACGACAACAAGGACTGTTGAATAAAATATACACTACGTCAATAAAAAAAAACATGTGTGCAATTCACACGTGGTTGAAGTGAAACCTTCAAAAATCTAGGTTTCAAGATAATGAGACGAATGCAATTTTAACGAGTTTTTTTCACTATCTAAGTAAATGTAGTATTAGACTTTTCTTTGAATAATTTTTATATTTCAATTTTTAAGTTTAATATAATTTTTGATAAAAACTAAAATAATTGAAGTTAGAAAGTCGATGAAACGAAAAAGCGACGGTAAAAAGAGACAGACACATAATAATTAGAAAAACGGAATCTGTGCCTCTTGCCCTATGGACTACAAAATAGTGAACAATGACAATCATCGGTTAAAATACATTCCACATCCCAATTATTTTACAACTCTTAAGTTATCAGTCGTTCCTTTTCCAAGTTATACCTACACAATGCTACGTATCATAAGGCCGAAAATGGACGTTACATTCATAGATGTTTACTATGTCTTATCTCTCTCCAATTTTATTTTACAATCTTAAATCTTACAGCATCAACTGGACCCACAGAAGTTCAGAGATAATTAGTTCTTGTTATACATTTTTTTAATCCGTCAGTAACCTAAACTAACATTATGAAGAGGAAAGATCTGTTTCTGTTCATAAACTTAAAAAAAACTTCTTATATCTGGACAAATTTCAAAACTATTATATTAAATTCATTAGACAATATATATGGACTAAAAAATAAACCGCCAGTATAATGTAAATCTATGGCACTTGGATAAATGAGTATTGTAATACATCTACTACACAAACAAAGAAGTACGTAATAATCAAATAATCTTGGCTATATGGTGGTCTCTCTGAACTTCCTTCTTTGGTAGGTATATCGTATTCTTACAATGCCTTCGCCATTAAAAAACAGTTTTTGCAAACTTGGGTAACTATAATTACAGTAGATACTAAAAAAACATTAATTTGTCTATGGTAAATATGGCTTTATATTGGGTGTAAAATAAAAACCATCTATTATATTTTATTGTGTTAAGAAAATTTACTTTTGATCTACGGTAAAGTATTAATAATTAACAACGACGCTTTCTTTGCGCCTTGAGAAATAATCATGGCATTTCCCACCTCGCGTCAACCGCGTATTGCTAGACAAGTGTTATAAGTTGTATTCGGTATCAATACAGATGTTATTGAAATATGTTACACATTTTATAGTAAGTAACATTTATAGTTTAAGTATAACTTAATATAATAATAATATTAACTATTTATACTTAAACTCTTACTGTTTTTGGTACCAGATTGTTTGGAGCATACTTTTTAACGATTTGAAAGTTGGGTCAGACCTGTTAAAAACCATTGTTTTTGTTCTAATTTAGAAGGTACATATTAAATTGCCTAGAGGAAAAATAAGGCTGAAAATAGACGTCACATACGAGGGTTGTCCGATAAGTACTTTGCCTACAAACAATTTTTTTTTCGGGAAAGTTGCGATCTATTTCTCAACATAATTTCCTTTGATACACTTGAACCAGCGATGTTCCTACTTCTTTAACCCGTCTGAAAAATACATTCTCTGGAGGTCTGCAATGTCGACCTCCGTGGCGGCGATAACCGCATCTTTCGACTCAAATTTCTGCCCGGCGACTGACTTTAAAAACTTGACCCACGCGGTCTTTATGCCTACTGTCTCAGCTATATCGCGCACCTTCAATCGGCGGTTTGCCAATACAAGACCGTGGATTTTTGTCACGTTATCCGCCGTGATAGCCGTTTCCGGCTCTCCTACGCGTGGCTCATCAAAAACAGACGTGCGACCACGTTGACACTCGTTTTAAATGTTTCTACAGTCGCCATCGAAGGACAAGCGTCCCCATACACTGCAACCAAGCGCTCTTTGATGTAAAAGTGCGGTTTCCCTTCCAAAAACAAGAATCGAATCACCGACTGATATTGCTCTTTTTCTATTTTTCTGAAATCCGCGGACAAGCTCGCTTTCACACGCGATCAAAATAAAACTAAGCGACCGATCCGGCTGAAATTTTTACAGTAGCTGTCTACTAGAATGTTCTAAGCGATGAAAAGTGCTCACCGCCCGATAACACCACTTTAGCAAGAGCAATAGTGGTGTTATCGGGCGGTAAATCTATGTACTTATCGGACCGTTAAGTTACTGTTTATAGAACCAGATGGTTTTGAAGCATACTTTTTAACATTTTTAAGTTGGGTCAGACCTGTTGAAAACCATTGTTTTTGCTCTAATTTAGAAGGTACATATGAAAATTGCCTAGATGAAAAATTTTTGTGTTTATTATAAAAATCCAGTAAGTCTAGTATTACGACTGATATTAATTGATGTGTGTATATGTCGCAGCCAACTAGATTAATAAGCCGTTTAATAAACAGCCTAGCCTCTTAACTAAATAGCGCCTAGAAAAACACTTTTTTAACGGATTTGAAGTTATGTTTTATTATAAATACAATTATTTTACATAGTTTTAAATTTAACCGACGTTTCGCGTGCTTTACAGCGTGCGTGGTCACGGTGACTGAAGACAAAAGGTGTTGAATGTCAACACCGTAACTTCAAATCCGTTAAAAAAGTGTTTTTCTATGTTTAAAAGTTTTGTCAATAAAAGACAATACTAAATAGCGCCTTTTTACTAGCGGCCTGAAAGATATTCAGCCAATTGATCAAATAGCTAGGCAGATGACTGGGATATGTCGCAGCCAACTAGCTTAATAAACCGTGCAATTAACAGCCTAGCCTTTTACTGTTGACGTAATCACCAAATAACGAAATCAAAGGAACAACAATCCTACAATGCTAACGTAAAATTTGAACGGCCCTTATGTGTAAAAAAGTAAATAATTACTGTTGAGATATTTAAAAATAAGAAAATCAAAGGAACAACCCACCGCCCTCCCTCCCCCCTATAATGCTAACGTAAAATTTGAACGGCCCTTATGTGTAAAAAAGTAAATAATTACTGTTGAGATATTTGAAAATAAGAAAATCAAAGGAACAACCCACCGCCCTCCCTCCCCCCTATAATGCTAACGTAAAATTTGAACGGCCCTTATGTGTAAAAAAGTAAATAATTACTGTTGAGATATTTAAAAATAAGAAAATCAAAGGAACAACCCACCGCCCTCCCTCCCCCCCTATAATGCAAACGTAAAATTTGAACGGCCCTTATGTGTAAAAAAGTAAATAATTACTGTTGAGATATTTGAAAATAAGAAAATCAAAGGAACAACCCACCGCCCTCCCTCCCCCCTATAATGCTAACGTAAAATTTGAACGGCCCTTATGTGTAAAAAGTAAATAATTACTGTTGAGATATTTAAAAATAAGAAAATCAAAGGAACAACCCACCGCCCTCCCTCCCCCCTATAATGCTAACGTAAAATTTGAACGGCGCTTATGTGTAAAAAAGTAAATAATTACTGATGAGATATTGAAAAATAAGAAAATCAAAGGAACAAAACAACGGCCTCCCTCCCCCCTATAATGCTAACGTAAAATTTGAACGGCCCTTATGTGTAAAAAAGTAAATAATTACTGATGAGATATTGAAAAATAAGAAAATCAAAGGAACAAAACAACGGCCTCCCTCCCCCCTATAA